AGCCCAGCACAGGGTGGGTTCGGATCTTCTGCACCCTCTGCATCCCTCACCACCACCACCACCACCACCACATTGAAGACCACAGAAAAGAAGACAACAGCTCTGGGGTGCTGCTGCTTGAAACAAGACCACGACTTTATTTGAGCTAAAAACCCAATTCTGCTTTCTTTACAAAAGGATAAACGTTTGCTCTCGGTACAAAAGGGAAGAAGCCCCAGGACCCAGGGGTTGGGTTGGGACCTCCGGAGCTCGAGTCACCTCCGAATTCCCAACTCTGTACAAAACATCTCTGCGGAACGGGGAGGTTTGGGCTCGCAAGGCCAGTGGGACATCAAAAATAGTTGCCTGGATTCTCTTGAAAATAAAAATAGTTGCATAGCCTTTAAAAATTATTGCTCATATAGAACTACGAGGGGCAAGTCGGGAGCTGCCGGACACGATTGACCTCCAAAATCCCAGAAACTGCCGTGTTAAACGTGTAATTCGACATTAAATATACGTAACCCTTTCGGTTTCGTCACCCAAAACGGGACCGTGAGGGCAGGAAGAAAATAAATTAAATAAATAATGGCTAATAAATAATCCTGGAGCGACAGCACTGCAAAAACCACACGTCTCCATGAAGCTAACTCCAACTAAGCGCTCGGGAGTCGACTGGAAAACAAGGAGGTTATTTAGCACATTCCACACCTCATGGAAAACGGAAGGAAATAAATTCGACACACAACCCCCCCCTGCCCAGAGTAAATAATAAATAAATCAGGAAATTAAGACACGCTTCTTTTGGCAGGATGTGTTGAGGACCCAGATCATGATAAATCACACTACGAACCGTGAGAAGACGTGGCCCTGGTCAGGAGCGAGGGTTCCGTCGAGAGCTCCTCTTCCAGTCGGGATATTCGTGCTCCGAAAGATCAACAGGTCCTTAATGAGGTTTCGAGATCACAGATCGATGAGGTTTTGAGATCCAGGCGCTCATCATCTCACACCGGTCGTAGGTCTGGGGCTCAGGAGAGGACGGGCAGGAGGGCTCAGTGCAGGAGGAGAGCGGTGGAGGGACCATCACAGAGAAGCTCTGAGATTGGCTGGACTGTTCCGTCCCTGGATGATACGGCAAAGATGCAGCTTCCCACCCAAAGGAGAACCTCAAGGAGGAGCAACCGTGCTGGTCTTCTGCAAGTGATCCAGCTCATTCCCACCTCTGCCAGCCCACCCAGCCGTGACTGGACTGGGAAAACCATGATGCTATTGGAGCGTGTGGAAGGGGAACTGGTCATCCTGAGGGGCAGGAAGGGCTTGTCTTCACCTGACCCGAGACGGAGGTGTGCCCACGCCCCACCACCCCAAAGGAGGGAGGAAAAGGAGCTGTAACGTCTTGGCAATGGACGATCCGAAGTGCTGGAGTGCGTTCAGGCAGAAAGTCCTGCAGGGTGAAGCCACCTTCACGAGCATCTCCGGAGCCGGAGGCAACGGCTCAGCTTTTGGCAGTGGCTGCTTGGAGTTCAGCTGTTGAGAAGGGTTCACGTGGCTCCTGGGGACAGCTCGGAAATCAGCGCGGTGACACCAGCGCAGACCTGCTGGGAGAGGAGCGGAGGGTCAGCTGAACCTTCCACAGCCACGTCCTGCGGAGATGCTCGGAAGTGTCTCACCCCGTAGTGACGACATCCTCACTCCAGTTGTGTCCGTTCTAGAAGCAGCTCCACGACGCAGCTGGACTTCTCTCTCTACGTCAAGAATTTGGGTCTAACTCTGCTTCACTATTCATTGAAGATGGCGTTGAGCTGAGGCCCGGCCACGTGGTGTGGGTAGGACTCATAGCTCATGTCTATGGGGATCTCATAGCGGGGCACTGTGTTTTGGAAGTGAGAGGCATGTCCATGTGCTCCAGCCAGGTTGACTGAGGGATAGTGGGCCATGAAGGTGTAGGATTTATCCAGGTCTGGAGACCCATCTTGCTTCAAGGAGAAGTTCCCACTGATGCTCAGGGGCGGCGTCAGGGGACCCTCGTAGGGGGGAGTGGTGCAGTCAGAGGGATGGTTTCCAAAGGACGCATCCACCAAGCTCTTGAAGGTCGGAGGCTTCAAATGCAGCAGATGCGTTTCCATGGTCCCGTAGGGTGGGCTGGGGAGCCCCGGGGACTGGTAGCTGAAGGAGTGGCCGGATATGGCCGATTCACACGCCGAGGACTTGTCTTCGTGCTTCTCCAGGAACAAGGTCTGCGGGCCCAGCTGCAGACAGCCAGCCACCAGGTTGCTGGTGGGCTGGGACAAGCCCTTGCAGAGCATCTCCACGAAGCTCTTGCCTTCGGGAGTCTGTCCCGTCTCGAGCACCTCAGACAGAGCCCAGATGTAGTTCCTCGCAAGCCTCAGTGTCTCAATCTTGGACAATTTTTGAGTCTTGGAGTAGCAGGGCATCACCCTCCTCAGGTTGTCCAGAGCATCGTTCAGACCATGCATCCGCGTGCGCTCCCGAGCGTTGGCCTTCACCCGCCGGGCCCTGAATCGCTCCAGCCTCGCCTTGGTCATTTTCTTCTTCTTTGGTCCTCTTCTCTTCGGCTTTTCCCCATCATCCTCTTCCTCCTCCTCTTCCTCAATGCTGTCGTGCTCTTCGTTCAAGCCAGACATCAATCCAAAAGGACCTTGCCTGCCGTCCTCTTCCTTCAGCTCATCTTTGGAGCTCAAGGTTTCGTCCATCCAGGCTTGGGTGCTCACGAGCTCCGCCATCTCCTTGGGCTTGGTGTACGTCTTGGTCATCTCTGATCTCTGCAACAAAGGGACAAGGAGATGTTAACAAATTCCAGCAGAAGAGTCACTCAACACAGTGAGGGCATTAGGAACTGAGCTCAAAGTCATCTTCCAGAGACACCAACTGCTTTCTGTCCACTGATGGTACCTACAGAATCTAGTTATCCATCATCCATCCATCAATCAATCCATCATCAATCTATTTCTTTATCTACAATCATTTCTGGTGAATTTTTTTGGGTCTCCCTGGGGCCCAGGAGCAATTTTCCAGGACTTAGGGCTTCCAACAATTCAATTTTTAGCATTATTCTTACTCACACATCCCTGCCCTCATGGCCTCAACCCCGATTGTCACACTGCGGGTTGCGAAAGGGAGCTTGAAGGTGAAGGTCCTCTGGAGCTTTTCCTGCCTGAGCTCTTCTAACCCGAGCACATTTCCTTGAACCTTGGTTTCCCTCTGCCATGACAAACATGGCCACACTGCACAAACCAGCCTGGGTTTCCCGTTAATCAGCCCCCCCAAATCCCATCATCGTGCCTGACTCATTTCATAAAGCTTTAGCATCTAAGCAGCTTTGCTGATCGGGTGCTGCTCCACTGCCCCTCTCCACCCCGTGTGGAAAATCCCCCTTTTAAGACGCACGACAAGGGCTCACCGGCTGGATTAGGGTGTTCATCGCTCCCCCCAGCCCTCCTATCCCCGGAGGACCACGCGGCTCCAACTAATTCTTCGGTAGAGTAATGGGGGTCTGTCAGATGTTGGGAAATCTGGTGGGCGAAGGTGGTGAAGGACCATCTTTGGGATGAATGGATGGGTCCGGTTGAGCTGGGATGGAGCAGGTCCAAATACCCACAGTCCTGGTGGGACCACAGAGCTGCACCCACTTTGGATGGTGAGAACGGCCCCGAAACGGCTCTAAATCTGCCCCAAAACCCCTCCAGGCTGCACTCGGAGGGTGATTTTTCACCCCAACCTTGGAGACATGTCCCAAAGGCAGCGTTCCCACCTGCAGCTCCCCTCCCTCCCTGGTCCTGGGCACCAGAATCCATCCCAGAAGAAAAACCACGAGGTTTGGGGTTCTGCTCAAGAGCCGAGCTCAGCGCCTTCCCCCCCTTCCCTGCACTTCGCGGCGCGGGATTCCCGTGGCGGTGTTTCGGAAGGTTGTCTCTGGAAACGCGGGCTGAATTTGGAGAGATTTTGCTCTCTTTCTCCAGAATATTGATTAAAAAAAAAAAAAAAGGGGGGGGGGAAGTAGACAAAGAGAGAATTGCCTGACGAAGTCACTCTGGTCATCTCCCAAGGAAGGGGATGGTGGGAACCCCCTGTGACATGGGAAGCTTGTCCAGCCCGTTATTTGAGACACCTTTCCTTATCAAACGTCTCCATCCCACGTTGTCTGAAAGACCCACAAGAAACCCCTTGCAGGAAAAAGCCCGCTGTAGCCCAAAAAACTTAATTTTCAAGTAGGGATGGCTCAGCTCAGCAGAGGGAGATGCTGCCCCTTTGTGTCACCAGGCACCGAGCTCCTACCCCAAAACAAGAAGGTTCAACTCCTTCTCCTTTCCTGCAGGACCAGGAACCTGGTTTCAACCATCCATTGGTTTCCACCGTCCGTCGTTTTCCTTCCGATGGACTCGATCCTCCAGAGAAGGACAAAGACTGACTGAGTCCAGCCCTGCACAGCCCCTGGTATGAAGACCCCGACCCCAGATAGGGCCACCCAAAGCAGCAGAACCACAGAGGGCTGAGGAAGAGGATGAAGGAAAGATGGTGGCACAAGAGCCATGAACAAAACGGGCAGCTGGGGCTGGGAATTCGTTACGGAGAGGGGCAGGAGGGACAAGACAGCCCCGAGCAGACCATGAAAATTAGGATTTACTGGAGAGTTCTGCACCGTGTCCTGCTGGGGAAGGTGGAAGGACGTGGCCCAGATGTATGGGGACCCAGTGAGCTCCAGCCAAAGGGTGGATTAAAAGCCCTCCAGCTGCTCCATCACGGCCAACGAGGTGGCTACGGGGGCACCGGTGACGGCTGAGTCCTGAACCCGGGGCCGCCCAGAGCTCCCAGTCCTGCTCGTGGTCCCAGTCTCACCAACTGGTGGGGGAGAGGGGGTGCGCTGACATTTTGGGGCGGGGGGAATCTGCTCGAGGGCAGCCCTCCAGCACCCACACAGAGCTGGAAAAGCTGGAGGAAGGTGGGGGGTGCTGGTTTCCTCCCTGCTG